AGACCACCATAGTGTCGTCGAATTTGGGCGTCAGTGCCACTTTGTCGGGGATCAGCGGCCTGGGGCATTCAGTCCTGAGGCATGCCCGTACCTCTTTTTCCAGCGGTTTGCGCAACCAGTAATGTATGAATTTTGCCAGGTGATCTGGCAGCGTCCACTCTGAGGACCGTGGGTGCCGGATGGTGCGTGGGTCGAACAGACCCCGTCTTCGGACTGACCGGTGTGGCGATCATCGTCGAGTTCCTTGTCCCGGTTGTCGAGGAAGGTCTCTTTGACATACTTTGAAGAGGTAGGTGGGAGGTCTTGCCACTCTTCGTAGTCTGAGGGTGAGCCGTCCCCGTGCCACTCGTCCACCACATCTTAGGCATGTGGAATGTAGGCATCGTCCTCGTCCGAGGATTGAGGGGCGAAGGGCGCGGGCTGTTGGTCCGCGTTCTTAACTCGCTTGACGGGCAACTTGCCCCTAGTCTTGGTGGAGGGGGGGCTCGAAGCCTTCCTTTGCCTCTTGGCCTTAGACACCTCTGAGCCCGAAGCTTCCATGCGTTCAGGGGGATTTGTGTCTTCCTGGCCGTGGGGTAGAGCCCGCAAGACGGCCTTCTCTACCGAAGCCGCCACGGCGGCATTCATCATGGCTTGGAAGTCTTGGGTGCTTTGGGTATCCTCCATGATCTGGGGTGTATATCGACCTGTTGGGCGAAAACAAGGTTCAGTGGAGGAGAGTCACGTACAGATATAGATTGACTCTTGAATATGTTTAGAAGGCATTATATGCACGTAATTAGTGAAATCAGGGCAATATGCGTATCTCGTTACATGAAGGTATAGGCCCTTGTGCATATTAACGGGGTTCACCCCGGGTGGTGTGCCGTGGCAACCAGAGGACACCCACATCAACTGAAAATGGGCCATCAGCGCCCTTGCATGCGTATCTGGGGGGTCACCCCAGTTGGTGTGCCATGAAAAAATACCCAGAGGACACCCACATAATTTTTGCACCCTTGGGTACAGTAATGTAATATGACCCTGTGCAGGGTAACCAATATGATATTCCCCTTGAAGGGTATAGCAGTATCCGATCCCCTGTGGGGCAGATAGCGTTGCATCTGTCCCTGCCGGGACCAGAGAGGCAGTATGTTCAATTATAATAACGATAAATGTATACTTGATATTATACAGCCTTCATAAACAAATCATAAATTGTGCATGCTTTGACCACTTGTCACTTGTAAAATATCCTTGTTGGTTAGTGGAAAGGTGATATTCCGATGTAGTGAGCTGTCCTGAGAGTGAGGAGTATACTTGATATTATACAGCCTTTGAGGGGGGGGGGAAACCTGAGGGTAATCCCCCCAAATCCGTTGCGGCAATCGGGTGATTCCCGAACCGCCAAGTGTAGAGAAAGGCGGCCGTCGCGGGTCTCGCGAGCCGCGAGATCCAAGATGGCCGTCGGCCGCGTGAGTATGAGCTACCCGCTCGCAGCCGCAAGCGGGACGGGAAAAAATGCGGCAAACAGTAAATTCTAACCCCGGCTACCCTCCACCCGTCCCCACCCGTGCAGCAAGGGCAGGTCCGCACAGCGAGCGCGGCATGGACAGCCGTGACGCCCGCGGACCGCCAGAACACAAGGGCCAAAAGACTCAGAAGCACAAAAGTAGACAGGGGCAATACTGAGTAAGGGAAACAGGAGGGGACAGGTATAGGTAGACAGGGAGTAAAATAAGAAACACAATAAAATACAATAATAAGGTAACTACAGGTACAAAAACCAGAGAGGAAAAATTACTCTGACCTGTTGATGGCTGGAGCAGCAAAGAAAGAGGAAGTGATGTCATAGACAGGGCCTCTTATGGGCACCATATATTTTCTCTGATTGGTTGTTACTGTTACTATGCTGCTGGAGTTTTCAGTAAAGAAAGATATGCAAATATGAAGCCTCCTGTCATGTGGTAAAATTATTTCTATTCCATTAACATTTAAATAGAGCATTCCATCCCCCTGCTTCATTGCTAATCACTTGGCGTGTTTATATAATGCATTCCTTAGCTCAGGCTAGTGGCTAGTGTTACTGAAAGCAAGAAGAAATTATGTGTCTTTGTTGGCCTAAAGATCCAAAATGGAGTCCGCTCTGTTCTGAGTGACTCTGGCAATATACACTTTTAATTTCTATCTTAGCACAAAATGTCTGCCGATATAAATATCCTGACAGCAACCAGGCTCTTCCAGTGGCTAGTGGCGAGGTTGGTTCCGCCACACCATCCTTAGGAATTTTTATCTTATACGCTACTGGGGAAATTTTGTCGATTATGACATATGGCCCTTTCCAAGAAGGTAAAAATGTATTTTCCTTTACTTGATTTCATGCAAAGTTATACAGATAGACTTGATCTGTTATCTCATATTGCTTTTTCATGGTTTTTAAATCGTAATAGGTCTTAACCCCTGTCGCTGCTTTTTCTAGATTATTTTGGGCAAAAGCAACTGATGTGTAGTGGCAGCATTGATCAAGTAATGATCCGAAGTACGATATAGTAAATGCTGTGGTAAAACCATCTTTCTTCCTGTCATCAATTCAAAAGGTGACAACATGATACCAGTGCTAGGTGTAGCACTAATCACCATAAAAACTAAGGGAAATTTAATGTCCCAGTCTTTACCAGACCCCTTAATATACTTTTTCAGAATATTAACGATAGACTGGTTATATCACTCTACTAGACGCAGCGCAGTATGCAATATGTAGCTTTCGTTTAACACCTAGGATTTTCCACATCTTCGCCATTACTTCACTGGTAAAATTACTACCTGTGTCTGAATCAATTCTTTGAGGCAGACCGAACCTGGAAAAGAGATGGTTAATCAACAAAGTGGTGCACAAATATTCTATCCACTTTGTGTAAATACATATAACGGTTAACATGTATTTGTTACCTCTTGAAGATCTTGTTACAGGACCTATAAAGTCAATTTGGATATCAGACCAGGCTAATGACATCTCCCTCTTCTGAAGTGGTGCACGATGGGTTGGACCATGGGGTTGACATTGCGGACAAATCAAGCATCCCTGACAGTATGTCTTAAGATCTCTTAACATGTGTGGCCAATATGCATAATCACGCAATATCTCATATGTGATCTTATCACCACGATGCCCAGATGTAGGTGCATCATGTGCGTGTTGCAGCATTAACCCTCGGTATACAGTTGGGACTACCCATTGTTGTATACCATGTTTAGAAGTTCTGACCAGCAACCCATCCATGATACTAAATTTTTCTTTATATCTCATCAAGATTCGTGAATCTTCATTATCTTTGCAATCCTCATCTGTGATGGGATTGGCAGTAAGGTCTTCTATATGTCTATAGAATATGCCTATGACGGGATCATTCTTTTGACTGGTAATCAGGTCCTCGCTAGGAGCTTCTTGACTCCATTGCACAACATTTAAGTCGACATTATCTCTAGCCTGTCGTCTAGTTATGGCTTCAACATGAATTGAACCCATAAGATCGTCGATGTTTAAGGTTTCACCATTGATGGCAGCTTGTTTTGCCAGTGATTCGGCTATGTCGTTACCTTCCTTGTCAATACCTTGTATTTTAGAATGGCCTTTGGTTTTCTTCCAATATATGGTTAAACCATTTTCCTTAACCAGTTCATCAATTTTACAAAACAATTTCCCATGTTTAACAGGTTTGTTATTGCTTTTCAGCATTTGGTTACGTTTCCAGCTAGGCAGATATTCGACTAAACTGTTGCGAACATAGTTGGAATCAGTTATGATAATGAATTCTTTGATACCATATTCTATTGCCATTTGTATGGTCTTATATACTGCACAGAGTTCGGCTATCTGACTGCTTTTGGGACCAATATTGTATCCTATTGGGATAATCACCTGTCCAGGCGATTCCGATACCTGCAACTAACTTCCGTTCATTACCAACAGTGTGGTGATATGAATAACCATCACTGTATACCCACGGTAGTGGTCGACAGTATTCCTCGTCATAAACTTTATAAGGGGATAGCAATTGATCTTCTAGGAAGTCATCTCCGGTGTCATTATCCTCCAGAGAAGGAGCAGTATAGTCATGTAATTCTGCTAAACCTTGGGCAACTGGGCTTCTCTTATTATGTTTATAAAGGACTTCTAACAGCCATCCCTGTAAGGATAGAGTTCATGCAGTAATCCGACTGTTAGAGAGATTACCGTCTCTGATTCTTTCACTATGCAGATACTGTAGAGGTTGGTGAGCAGTTTCTACAATTATTTTCTCACCTTGGATATAGCTACGAAAATTTTGTAGTGCCCAGTCGACAATATCACCTTCTCACACATGTTGAATTTAACTTCAACAGGTGCCAAAGTCTTGCTAGCATATGCAATAACTTTGTTTAGACTGTTCCGCTTCTGATACAGAACAGCACTTATGCTTAAATCGGTATATCCTGTCTCCAGATAGAAGGGTTTACCCCCCTCTGGGTATGCTAAACAGGGTGCCTGAGTGAGCTTCCTCCTCAGTTCACTTACTGCTTGGTCCTGAGGCTCCATGTAGTTTCCTTTTTAAGCAGGTGTAAGAGTGGTTTTGTTATTTCTACATAGTTATCTATAAACGTACGGGAGTAGTTAGTCATACCAAGGAATGATCTTAATTCCCTGATATTAGTGATTTGGATCAAAGAAAACTTTGATAATTTGTCTATCTACACCTTCCAAATTGATTGATTAATGCGTGCACGCTTTCCCTAGAAGTAATTCACACCGGAGACAAAGTTTCTGATCGGTGAAAAACCTGAGGAATGCCTTTATTCCCTGGAGTGGGAGTTCCTTTTAAAGCAGAAATACGTCATGTACAGAGTCACAGTTAACATACAATATACATTCAACAATTGGTTAACAGTCTAAGGGGTCTTGTCTAAACCCCCCCTACAGGATGTAGTGTCGTCATTACAGACTTCTCCCACCTATATTGGATACACGATGGGAGGGGGAGTGAGTAGTTTCTTTCAGTTACTTTAACAGTGATTCTCTATTTTGTTAGCTGTTACTTTGCACAAAGGAAGTGGGGGAGGAGTTTAATAAAGGAATATGTTCTTTTAACAGAGGAATTTTGTTACATGAGGCTTGCTCGATGGGAAGGGGGGAGGCTAGCAGGATGTGAGGAATTTACAGAGGAAATAGCAACTGAACACATTGTAGGGGGGGAAGGGAATATTTACTCTAGCAGCCAGTTTTAACATAGTGAACACAGAATAAATAGACATTAGTAAATAGCCATTTTATTTTAATTCTTCTGTCCATAACATTAGTAGGTGTTTTAGCCTTTGTACGGCTTCAACCTTCTTCTTCTGTGAATTTAATCCTTCAGAAGTTACCTCATGTCCGAGGAAATTTACGTGGGTGCGACAGCCTTTTGTAAAGACAGTTTAATCCCTGCCTCTCTTAACTGAGTGAGAACATGTCTAATCTCTATGATATGCTTATCAAAGGAAGTGCTTTTCAGCAAGACATCATCGACATATGATAATGCCTGTTAAGACACCTCCAGTGTCTTTAGGCAAAACCGCCGTTTAGTAGACCTTCCCCGGCTGCAATATCAGTAACTCCGTTCGCCTAACCTGTAGTGCACGAACCAAATGCAGGTGAAGCGGCAATCTCCCGACCGGAATCCGTGAACGGCTCCAAACTCCCGAACGGCAATACACGAATTGCTGCTAGCCGCCGAACAACAATATTCACCAAGCGGCTTTCGTTCCATCCAGCAGTCTCTAAACGTGAAGAAGAAATCCCCCCAATAACGAGACAGAAGCTCCGCATTGAGGGTCAAACAGGATCTGGCTTTACTGTGGGCTACCTGCCCGTATTTATGCAGGTCTCCCACTTGGTGGACACTCCCCTAGGGGACCAAATGGGAGACTTAAATGACAGACAGATATGGGGACATTCCAGACACACAGTCACAGATTTTACCCACAGTGCATTATGATTCCCTCCCCTCTGCCCTGGAGATAATTACCAAGTAACTCAATTATCTCCAGGACAAAGCCAGTCGCCATTTTAAATATAAAATCATAAAAGACATAAAAATATATAACTTTACAATAACTGAACATTTCCCATTCGTATCACATATCCCCAGATAGCCTGGATCTGAGTTATTATTAGCGAATAGCGCTCAGATCCCACACACATAGTTTAATCGCCATGGAGTCAAAGTTCTTACAGTCTTTCGGTATACAAATGACTCCATGGGAAGGCTATCTGGGTTAAGTCTTTTCGTATGCTCCAAACCTCCCGAACGGCCAGTATTCGTATGCTTTCGTGGAGACAGCTAGGCGTTCCGTTGTTTCAGCGGTGTTCGGCAGAAAAAGTGTCCGTTTTTAGTTCCATAGAAATAGAGCCAAACACCGCTGGGCTTTCGCGTGGTTTAAATGGCCGCTGCCTCATGGTCGACATACGAACGACGACCACCCTGAATTCGGTTTAATTGAGAAGTGTCTGCGGTTAACCACAACTTTTCTCCTGGGTGGCCGTCCGTTCGGCAGGTTTGTTCGGGAAAAAAAAGTAATTCGAATGGCTGGGCTATAGAAAACAGCCATTCATACGAACAGGATACAAACAGACGAATACACCCAAATACAAGCAGACAGATGGTTCTGTCACAATGCCCCTCTCTCAAGTGCGTCAGGCATAGCTTTATGCATGAACACAACGAATTCATGACCAGAGTTTATGTAACCAAAAGGCATACAGGTCCAGGTATACTGCTGCTTTCCAAATGTGAAGGCCAATTTGTATTGGTTTTCATCATGGACTGGTACAGTCCAATATCCCTACGCACAGTCGATGGCATTGAATATTTTGGATCCCTGCATTTGTAACAAACATTGGTCTATATATGGCACTGGCCAACCAGACATACATGTCTTAAGTCAGCGCATAAATGCCATTGTCCATTAGGTTTCAGAATTCCCAGGATCGGATTGTTATGCGAACTGTGCACTGGACGTACAATTCCCCTTTCCTTTAAAGTCTGAATGATGTCTTGTAGACCATCATATGAAGCCAATGTAAGTCTATATTGTTTGATAAATACAGGTGGTAAATTTGGATCAGTTTGTATTCTGGCTACATGGAGGTTAGTTAACCCACAGTCGTAGGAATCTTTGGCAAAAATATCTTGGAATTCCATAAGGATTTCCCTTAGCTGTTGCCGCTCAGCATCGTTGGAGCAACCGTCAGCTAAAGATATTTGCTCTTCAAGCCTTTCCTGAAATCCTGAAAAGATTTCAGGCTGGCCTTTCTCATAAGCTTCTTCAAGCCTAGAAGTTAGGTCAGTTTGGTGTTGACTTACCTTTTCTCTTTGGTCTTGATACTCTCATGATTCCTGCTCATTGAGCAGATGATCGAAGGTGATATACAGATAGGATAGTGAATAATCCTTCTGGAGAGGAATGGACTATTTGATCGACAATTTCGTCCTCAGTTAAGTATTCTTCAGGGATGAGGCCTATAATTTGGTTTTGGAAACCAAATGTATAGTACTCAGCATCCAATGGTAGACCTAATAATGTTCCTTTTGGCAAAGTAACACTATTGGGTGTAACGCTGTTGACTATTACGTAGGTGGGATTCTTACCAATACTTACCATTGGTGTATGTGTTACCACCATCCCTAATTGTTGTATCCTATTGAATAAACAGATTAGGGCATCAGAGTTTTTCAATCTCTGACCCTTCTTGACCTGTAGGGGTAAAAGAAAGTTACTTGTCCCTTGTGGAATGGTTAGGTCATCAGGTACTTGGATACTCACCGCATATGGTAGTAATTGTCCTGATTTCAGGGCGTTTTCCTTGTGTTGGTATTCACAAGGATTACCTTTTAACCTTGTCCACAAGTTGGAATTAATCATGTCAAGGTGTATGGCAAAGCGATGTATGACATCATTGCCAATGTAAACCTGATAGCGAGGTTTGTCTTTTACCAGGAATAAATGTTTAGCCATCTTATTTCCAATGGAAATGGATAGTAAACATTTTGCTATCACATTGTGACTCTCTGATTCGCCATCCAGATTCTGGATCCACCTGTCATGTGGGGATGTGTACCTGATCATTTTAGGATTAGCGATCTGCTTTAACAGACCTCTGCTAATATAGCTGTTCTCACTCTGTAAGTCCAGCTTTGCTTTCCTACTTCTTCCTAAGTCATTTATTTGAATAGGAAAGAATAAGTTGTTATTAACCTTTTCAATTCTGGCAAGGAATTGAACATGACCTGCCAGATCAACAGATTCAACATAGTCCCTGTGGAGAGAAATGGTTAAAACATCACCTTCCAGAGAGACATTCTGGATCCTCTCTGGAGCAATTCTTACGGAATGTTCATCTACAGGTGCGATTGCGTCATTCACCTGCAGGATAGTCACGTCAGGCGACTGACTATTTCTAAAATGTACCTCAATAGAGTCAGGTCTTTTTTCTATCACATGGCAGTTACGTTCGGATTGAACATGTGATTTCTCATAGGTTATAGGAACCTTAGCTTGTGACCATACAATTCCATTCACACAGTCAATAATTGTGTTAAGTCTTCTGAGTATGTCTATACCCAGAATCAGTCGGCCATAGGGGAGATCTACCACTATCACCGGGTATCTAAAGGTTTTGTTACCTATTTTAAATTTTAACCAGGTATTGCCAATAACATGAAGGGCATTTCCTCCTACGCTCAACAGAGCATTGGGGAAATGTCTTAGCTTCGGCTTATCCGTTGTTAAGTCCATTACCTGCTGGAAGTAGGTATTGGATAAGATAGTGGCTTGTGAACCAGTATCTATTAACCCTTTGAAAGGTTGGGGTAGCGAATCCTGTATTTCTACAGACATGTAGTACCTTCCTTCATGTTCTTCTAATTCACAGAAGTTAGAATGTGTCAACATATCACTCGTTTTCCATACATTACCTGTCACAGCAGTAGTTTCTACCTGTACTGAGGAATGCTCAGTCTTACCCACAGGCCCATCCTTCTTAGGAACATCTTGAACTATCAAGCGGGAACTAGTGGTCAGCATCTCATCAGTTAACCCTTTCAGGGCTAGATCCTGGAAACTAGAGGCTGCTAAAGATATTTTAAGCTTTGGCTGAAATGAAAAAACAGAGGGACATGTTGCGCCTCCTTCACCCGGAAGTGAAGTGACGGGGTAGGCAATAGGTTTTTGTTTGTCTGACTGTGAGGATCTGGAAAGGAAACAGGGTTAGGCTATTGGAGTCCACAACTATTGTGGTTGCTGTTGCAATTGAATAGGTGGCTCTACAATTAGGGCTGTCCCTAAAAAAGGATTTCTGGCAAAGACTTGGTTAATCTTTGTCATTTCTTCCATTAATTTGCACATCTGGTTGGTCAATTGACCAACCTGACGACGCAAATTATTTCTGCCATTGCCGTTCTTTCTTTGCCCATTAGAATTAGGCTGGAATGGCTGAGACTGTCGGGAGTTATTGGAAGCAGTTTGTTTTTTTCTGTTTCCATATCTAGTTCCCTGAGGATTCCTTCTCCATTGGGAATTGCCTTGTGTAACGGATCACCTGGCACCCCGACTGGGTACCTCCATTGAAGGATGCTCCTAGCGCTTCCTGAGGACTCCAAGCACTGCAGCAGACACCACAACCACCGAACTGGAGAAGCATATGAATGCTGTAAGCAGCTGAACAGGAAAAGCATACAATCAGCTTACACTCCTGGCAATCAGCATACAATCCAATTCCCCCAATAACGAGATGACACTTTGTTTTGAGGTCAAGCAGAACTGACTGTACTGGCACATCCAGCCTCTTTTATTAACAATCCACAAACATAGTACTGCCCACAGGTTTTTGAAATACAACCAATCAATCCCTACAATACACTCCCACACAAAATACTCCCCTCTGCCTGTGATATGATTACTGAACACAATGGTTAATATAATTATCACAGGCAGAGAAATACAGTATTATAAAACATATCACAGGGACCCCAAAACATGCAGTAACCCCATAAAGTGTATATATATATATATATATATATATAAAGTATATCCTCGGAACCGGGGGATCTGGGTGAACCACATATCCAAAATTCACCCAGATCCGTTCATTAGTTTGGAAGATGCCGTTTAATGCAGATTCCGCAGAACATATACAGGCTATATGAAAAATAATTACTGTATAATGTGTCCCCTGTTGTATAGTTTAAAACTACTGCACGATGTCTTTGTGCACCAAATAAAGTCCAAACAGTGTCTGTGAGTTAAAATTGCCACCATCCATTGTTCTCACCATGTGCTTCATCCATTATTCTCACCATGTGCCTCTGATACATGAAATGGTGGCCACCCAGTAACTCCACAGTATGTCCCTAGATCAGGGGTTCTCAACGTTAGTCCTCAGGACCCCCTACCAGTCCAGGGTTTAGGGATTACCTGGGTGTGTCTAAGGTGTTTAGAAAAAGAAAAAAAAACAGTCTAAGGTGTTTTTTCCCCTTTTTCTAAACACCTGAGACAGACCCAGGTAGTCCCCAAATCCTGGACTGGTAGGGGGTCCTGAGGACTGGGTTGAGAACCCCTGCCCTAGATGGTTCTTAAAGGGCCAGCAGCAGCACAACATAAATCCATTATGCCCAAATCATGTCTTTAAAGGGCAATACATCCCAGGGGCCATAGTCACATGGCAGGAGGCTGGCAATCAGTCTTCTCCAATGCCTAGTGGCGAGGTCAGTTTCGCCACATTTCTCCCCTTTCCCAAAAAGACTAACAAGGTATCCTGTTGGTCAGTGCCTTGGTTAGTCCAGCAACCCACCCATAAAACATAATCAACAGAGTGGCCCACCCACAAGAATTGGTTACTGCACCTGGGGTAGTGGGTAGCTTGTCCATGTCCAGGGGCTCCACCACGGCTCTGGGGATTACTAGCCTTCAGGATCGGTGGGTTGCTGAGTGGGCAAAGACCAGCGGTACTCTGCCCTGGTGCCAGCCCTACCGCGGGAGTAGCCTGGTTGGAGCCCAGCTGAGGAGAAGGGTTAGTAGGCTCCTCCCACTGGACCTGGTGTTGCTGCTAGAGGGGAAGACAGGCTGTCTCCCCTTTGGATATACAGCCCTGCTGTTGGGGGACAGGACCGACCGTCCCTACCCCCTGTGGTTTGGGCACAGAGACCACAGTCCCATCTGCACCGGTGTGGGGCTTATCATCTCCCCTTGGTGGGCTAGGCTGCAGCTGGGAAGGGGGAACGAGACTCTCCCCTCCCGGTAGAATTCTCTGCCACTGGGGAGCAGGACCGACTGTCCGTACTCCCTGTAGATTGGGCGCAGAGACCACGGTCCCATCTGCACTGGTGGGGGGGCTTAGTGTCTCCCCTTGGTGGGCTACGCTGCCTCTGGGGAGAGGGGGTAACAAGCTTGTTAAGACACCCCTGGCACACAGGAGTGAAACCGCCGTTTAGTTAAGCTTCCCCTTTTCTCAATAATGCAGGCTCAATTCGTGTATACCTCAACCATACGAACTGAAGCCAGGGGAATGCGCCAATCTCCTGAACGGGACCCGTACGGGTTCTCCAAACTCCCGAACAATAAATCCACGAATCGAGGCTAAAAGCCGAACAAATATATCCTCCAAGCGGTTTACGTTTCCAGTAATCAGTCGCTAACCATGTGTAGTAAATCCCCCCAATAACGAGACCAAGCTCCGCATTGAGGGTAAAACAAGAACTGGCTTTACTGTGGGCTACCCGCCCGTATTTATGCAGGTCTCCCACTTGGTGGACACTCCCCTAGGGGACCAAATGGGAGACTGTAGTTACAGACAGACATGTAGCACTTTAGGACATACAGGCACAGAATATTCCCACAATGCATCCTGGTTTCCTCCCCTCTGCCCTGGGGATAATTGAGAAGTAATTCAATTATCTCCCAGGACAGAGGCAAATCGCCATTTTAAATTAAACATAAAAAACACATAAAAATAAGTAATTATACAACTACCGAACATATTACATTCGTGCAACGTTGTAACGGATCGCCTGGCACCTCGACTGGGTACCTCCGTTGAAGGATGCTCCTAGCGCTTCCTGAGGACTCCAAGCACTCTGGCAGACACCACAATCACCGAACCGGAGAAACAAATAAATTCTCCCAAGCATATGAATGCTGTAGACAGTTGAATAGGAACCATACGAATAGGTTTACTCTCCTAGCAGTCAAACTGGAACAGCATACAATAAATCCTTCCCCCAATAATGAGACGACACTTCACTTTGAGGGTTAAAACAGGAACTCTTGTGCTGGCACACCCAGCCTGGTTTTTATTACAGTCTTTCACATACAGGACCGCCCACAGGGAGGTATAAAACAACCAATCACATATCAGTTACATCCCACATATTCCCTCCCCTTATCCTGAGAGGAAACTCAATTACACATACAGTTAAAACATACTTTCTACCCAACTTTCATAACTTTAAAACCATACATCACTTTCACATAACATTACATATTCACAATCAATCCATTCAGGGGAACAACATATTAAAAAATGGCATGAATCCGACCAGGGGTTCAAAAGTTAGTAAAAGTATCTTTTGGGCCCTGGCTGGCACATGGCTATCTGGCTCAAACAGGTTTTACAGGGCCCTCTATCCTGGAGACAATGGGGGAAAGTCATCCAATTATCCAGGGATAGAGGCAGACTCCACTGAGCACATGGTTGCAAAAAGACATAAAACACTTTAAAATGCATAAAGTCACCTTTTACACATAACACACAGACATTTCCAGATAGCTGGGATCTGAGCGCACAAAACTATCGAAGAGCGCTCAGATCCTATTCACACAGTTAAATTGCCATGGAGCCGAAGTCTTTAACTACACAAATGGGCTCCATGGCATAGCTATCTGGGTTAACACATTCACATAAAGTCTGGTCCATAGTCCAAAGGCAAGAGGCGGGCAAGCAGCCCCCTCCGAGGACACGTGGCGAGGCCGGTTTCGCCACAAACGTATCCTCTGATAGCCTGGATCTGAGTGCATATTCCTACCGAATAGCACTCAGATCCCATACGCACAGTTCAATCGCCATGGGTCAAAGTCTTTTACAGTCTTTCGGTATGCGATTGACTCCATGGGATGGCTATCTGGTCCATTCGTATAATTCAAACTCCCGAACGGACCGGTGTTCGCATGCCTTGACGAATGAGAAGGGCGGTCTGTAGTCTCAGCGGTGTTCGGTAGAAAAAGTGTCCGTTTTTAGTTCCATAGAATCTGCGCCGAACACCGCTGGTCTTTCGCATGGTTTAAAATGGCCGCCACCTCGTGGTCGGCATACGAACGACGACCACCCTGCATTCGGTTATAATTAAGAGGTGTCTGCGGTTAACCACAACGTTCTAATTGGGATCAAGAGGTTAACCAGCAGCACACTTCTCTTCTGGGTGGCCATCCGTTCAGTAATTTCATTCGGTAAAAAGTCAAAAAGACGAATAGGGGTATACGGTGCACTTTCAATATATTGTCCCGCTGCTGGGAAGCGAGACCTACTGTCTCTGCTCCCTGCAGGACACACTGCTGCTGGGGAGGAAGGACGGCACCTTCAGCTCCCTGTGATTCACTGGACTGCTGGGGAGAGGGACCAACTGTCTCCTCTCCTAAGGACACACTCTGCCGCTGGGGAGGAAGGACAAAACCTTCAGCTCCCTGTGACACATTCTGCCGCTGGGTAGGAAGGACAGCACCTTTGGCTCCCTGGGACTCATGCTGCCGCTGGAGATCTGGGTTGGCTGCCCAGCATCCCTGTAGGGCTGGTAGAGAGACCTTGCACCTGTCCCATCTCTACCTGCCATCTGGAGGTCATCCCAGGACCAGTCAATGAGGTCTGGTTCTGCTTGTCGGGTAGGTTGGGGCTGCACGAAGCTGAGCAGGTGTTGGTAGTCCTGCTCCAGCTCCCACTCCCTTGTTACCAGCTGAGTCATGTCTTTGCTCACCTTGCAATCGTCAGTCCAGACATACATGCCCATCCGGTAGTTGTAGATGTCCCAAAACCTAGACCCCTCCGTGCTGCCAAGATCAATGTCATCCTCCAAGGCATCCCATAATGAACCCGGGCCATCATAATCATCCCCCTCCGGTAAGTCGTGCTCGGCCGTCCAGGGGGTAAGTCGAACGGTATGCCACCAGAGGGCCTGGTATGCGTTGTCTAGCCAGATCTCTCGCCATACCAGGGTCTCTAGTCTTGTCACCCACTCATCCAGGGGCTGCTCTCCCAATAGATACATCCGCATCGCCACACGCTTCTGTAGCCACTGCTCATCACTGAGGAGACTCTCACCTCACCGCCACTGGGCATCTTCCAGGGCATCACACCAGAGTTCCTTTCTGTCTGCATCCCTGTAGCCCGCGGCCGCCTCCTCCTCATCATCATGGAACGCTGTCCGAAAACTAGTCGATTCCATCCTGCTGTAGCCAGGGGCGCTGTATGGATACTAGCGTTGCCCTCAATTTGTAACTCCAAACGTTACCAGTGTCTCTGAGCTGCTTCTCTTCGCAATAGGACGCCATCCCACCGCTGCCACCAATGTAACGGATCAGCTGGCACCCTGACTGGGCACCTCCGTTGAAGGATGCTCCTAGTGCTTCCTGAGGACTCCAAGCACTGCAGCAGACACCACAACCACCGAACCGGAGAAGCATACAAATGCTCTCAAGCATATGAATGCTGTAAACAGCTGAACAGGAAAAGCATACAATCAGCTTACACTCCTGGCAATCAGCATACAATCCAATTCCCCCAATAATGAGACGACACTTCGTTTTGAGGTCAAGCAGAACTGACTGTACTGGCACATACAGCCTCTTTTATTCACAATCCACAAACATAGTACACAGGGTTTTGAAATACAACCAATCAATCCGTACAATACACACAGACACTCCCACACAAAATCCTCCCCTCTGCCTGTGATATGATTACTGAACACTATGGTTAATATAATTATCACAGGCAGAGAAACACAGTATTATAAAACATATCACAGGGACCCCAAAACATGCAATAACCCCATAAAGTGTATATATATAAAGTATATCCTCGGAACCGGGGGATCTGGGTGAACCACATATCCAAAATTCACCCAGATCCGTTCAGTAGTTTGGAAGATACAGTTTAATGCAGATTCCACAGAACATATACAGGCTATATGAAAAAATAATTACTGTTTAATGTGTCCCCTGTTGTATAGTTTAAAACTACTGCACGATGTCTTTGTGCACCAAATACCGGCGAGATGGCACCGCATAGAAAAGTCCAAACAGTGTCTGTGAGTTAAAATGGCCGCCATCCATTGTTCTCACCATGTGCCTCTGATACATGAAATGGTGGCCACCCAGTAACTCCACAGTATGTCCCCAGATGGTTCTTAAAGGGGCAGCAGCAGCACAACACAAATCCATTATGCCCAAATCTTGTATTTAAAGGGACAAACCTCCCAGGGACTATAATCACATGGCAAGAGGCTGGCAAGCAGTCCTCTCCAGGCACAAGTGGCGGGGCTGGTTCTGCCACACCTTGGTTCTTATTAAACCAGGGATGTTTATTCCCATTGGCATTGGACTTTTCAGAGTTATTATCAGAGGAATTAACAGTATTGTTTACGGCATTTTCCTGTTTCTGAGGTTTTGGATTTTTCAAAACCTCAGAATAGGTCCTCTTTTTCTGTTGGGTTTCTAAACCTAAATGAATTTTAGTCTCTGACACCATTTTATCACCAGGTGTCTTAACCTTTGGCTGATTTTCATTATGTGTATGGTGTATAGTATACAATTTCATGCACTGTCCTACTAGCCATTCTAACGGTAACTTACAATCATAATCTCTTGCGAGATTCATTTGTATGTTTACTGGCATAGCATGAAAATACAGATCTTTGAATTCTGTACTTTCATACCTGGGTTTCCTTTGGGCCACGGAATATGCATTTTTAAGAATGATTAAAAATTCTCTGGGGCTTTGATCTGGACGGCACTTTAAGTTATAAAGCGTTTTCCTAGCAGAAGCAATGGTTTTATACTTACTGTGGCGAAATTAACATCACCACTTGTGCCTGGAGAAGACTGATTGCCAGCCTCCTGCCATGTGACTATGGCACCTGGGATGTATTGCCTGCTCTCCTGTACTGCTGAGGATTGCTACCAACTAAGTGGATTTGGCTATGGAACTTGTGTAGTGCACTCTGTTGGTAGCAACAGTAATATGCACTACCTGAATAGCAAGACTGGTAATTTGCATATTCGGGTAGATTTGCATATCGCTAATTCTGCATGCAGGAGAGACATTTTGTGTTAATTATGGTCTTCCCCACCCATTTATAAATATGTAATTATGTTATAAGTCACTGTATGTTGCCTGCTATGATTTGACTGTTTGTAATTTTATTGAGTTTTCACAGCAATGTTAATGTAATGACCATATGGGCTAGTCCCAACTGAAATAAAGTTTTAGATAGTTCTACTTCACCCTCAATTTGGAGTCGTGTCTCTTATTGGGGGAATCTGCTACAAGGGATAGCTATGTTCTGCATATTCCCTTGCGATAATCACTCCTAAGCTCTTTTAAGAGCTCGTTCCTGCTTCGCTCTGAAGGAAGAGAGGTTCGGCGTGCGGTGGTTGTGGTGTCGGCTAGAGTGCTTGGAATCCTCAAGAAGCGCTAGGAGCATCCATCAACGGAGGCACCCAGTCGGGGTGTCAGGTGATCCGTTACACTTACCATATTCCATGATTATCTCATATTTCATCTTGGATCAGGACATTAGCTGTATAGCTTGAAGACTCTCCAGATGAATATGGCATATTGAATCAAAGGTCCATGTAATGTACCATTTCGTATGGATGTCATCATACATGCCCAATTAATTCATGGCTTTCATCATTTTCCAGATGTTCAGATATGTTTCCTTAACTTGTAGAAAATTGTGGTACTGTCTCTTTGAGGAATTTACTAAACCATAGGCGTTTCATAGACAGGCATATTTGATTTATTAATCCTGTTTCTAGTGTCGCTGCGTTTAGGTAAACGTCTATGCGATCTGGCTGCTGAAGAGGAATTAGATCCGTATAACAGTGCAGATGGCATAGCAGTCACATGGCCTTCAGAGTGGACAGTGCAATCACTTTCACTCCCATCACTCTGAGCTTCTCGTTCACTATCACAATTCTGATCAGCATCAGAGTTCTGCCAGTGTACAAAACCATGTCTGTTTTCACTCCTATCACCCTGAACCTGATTCCCTTCCTCAAGCTTGGCCAAGACAGTCTTTTCAAACTGTTCTGCCCAAGTTTGCCAGTGTTTGACAATATCATGAGATGAGGAATCTTGTTCCACGGGTGTTTTCTCAGAATTACTCACATCTTTTCTTTCAGACTGATTTAGGAAAATCTGCTCTGGTGTGGGAAAATCATAATAAGAAGGGGATTTACAGGTAGCCCTTGCTTGCATTTTTGTGCAACTTCTTGGCACATAATGATGACTACTAACCTCACTGTCTGATTTTTGACTCTCCTTTTCGTATTCTTCTAATTGCTTTTTAAGCTGATTTATTTCCTGTGCATATTTATCCGTCATAGCTTTCAGTTCTTTTTCATGATCAGCCTGAAGGTTATTATGCTCAGTAAGTAAATCTTGCTATTTCCCATTTTGAATGCCCAGATCGTCACTGTTTGTGTCCAATCTGGTATTCATTGCCTTGTTTTCAATGCCTTAAGAAATCCTGTCATAAAGAAAGGCCAAGAGTGTATTAGGTACCCTATTTTTTCTCTGTGTTGGTTTGTTCTTCAATTAAGTTAAGATGTTTTATTACGGGTGAATCTTTTAGCATGGAAGTATTAGCCTCCCGTTCTATGTCTTTCAACCATTCATCATAGCTTAGATCATTCTTCATATATTTATAAATATGGACTAGAGCATGAATTCTCAGGTCTTCAATAAGTTTGACATTGTCTGATACAGATGTTTTTATACACTGATTTAATCTCAATACAAAACTCTTTTCTATATCAAGATTAATATTGCATGAATTACACAAATAGCAATGCCTCCTAATTACTGTGTGAAATATAATTTCAACTAATGATCTCAGCAGTGTGCCTCCAAATTGTGAGGATATTTATGGGGTGATAAATATTAAAAATAATATTTTCATAAAAATTATCAAGAATTAATTTAATTTTTATTATATCAAAATTTATATATTGGCACTGTTCCCCGAATAATGATAATATAAAGCTGAGCATTACTCACGATTTTTAATTCTCTTATATCCTAGAGGAAGTTCACTAGAGGATTTTTACTTCACACAGTAATCACAAATTGATTATAAAAATATAATTTAATGTGACAATAATAATAAAAATAATAATAATATGTAACATGCGTGACGATCAGTGAATAATTAGTATAACATAATGATACAATATGGCTACAGTTTTACAACATGATACAGACAGCTAAAAGCAACCAGTTGTCAACAATTTCAACAAGATTTATGATAGGACACGGTTTAGAAACCCTTACACAGAAAGACAAAACTTCCCAGAATACAACAGTGCAGCGAAAAGCAATAAAAAACAAAAACAAACTTTGTCTGACAGTTAATCACACTAATTAATTCTTCCACTGCTGGCTACAATCCTCGTAGGCAATATATCCTATTATGTTGCAATTTTACAATTAAAGTAATGTTCATACCAGATCATTTGACCATTCCTAGGACCATCCAATAAGAATAATTTTACCAGATTTTACGTTTGCCGAATTTTAACTTTTCTAAATAAGATTCACTATCTTATATCAGAACAAGTAAATATTTCTGGTAAAATTTGGTATATTTTACCATTTATATATTGTTATCTTTATTCCACCTGCAGGAATGGAATTTTTATAACCATATATTCCTTAGCTAATTGTGATTTCTAATGATTGAAATCTGACCAAGATTTATCCAGATATATATTTCTATTAGTAAAAAGTTATTTCCTGGCTAATCATGGCAGCATTTAACATATGGGTTTAGCTCCTCCCTCTAACCCTCAGGACAGGAAACACAATCAATTAAACAATTAAGCCTACCTTCCCCTAGTATATTAGGTACCCCAGTATCCTCCACACCTCAGTCTTTTCCTGTCCTCCTAGCCCTAGGACAGTTTAAATATTTTTTTTTCAGTTTCTTCTGAATGATTTTTTTTTTTTTGCTCACCTGACCATGTTTGATATGGTCTTGTCCCTTTGGAGGTCAGCCTCCCTCCTCAGGAAGCCCAGGCACATGTAGCCCAATCTCCATGGAGTTGGGAACCCCTGGGAGCCTGGGTGGTTAGTTCCACAGGCTGTGGGAATCCTCTGGCGTCCAGTGTGTGCTGCAGACCTCGATCAGACAATCAGCATAACGGTAAGACGCTTGCGCATGCGCAATGCGCGCGACCGGACTCAGAGTGAATTTTGCCCCTTTCCAAAATGGCGGTTTAGCGATCTCGCGACCGAAGTGCACATGTGCGATCCTTTAAAGGTACAGAGCGGGAAATTTGAAATGGCGGTATTTAGCCTAAAACACGCTCGTTTCCGTTCCCTTTAAAGATACAGTGCTCTAGTAGACTGTTCTTAAAGCTCTGCAGGTAAGAGAATTACTTATATTTTAAAATCATCATATTATTGGGCTGGGAATACATTACCTTTTTTTTTAATGTTCTTAGCCCTACAGTCAGTATGGATCCATCATCCCCTTCTGCAAAATCAACGAGATCTGCTATAGGTCATAGGTGAGCAATATTTTTTCTTGGTTTTTTCACGTTACTAAAAAGAGTGCACGGAGGGTACAGTCTTATGACTTCTGTATCTTACAGCCCTCGTGACCGGTCCTGTCCCAGATCCCCATCGAGGAGAAGGGAGAAACCGGCAGCCTGCCCTGGATGTGGAGCAAGGCCTATGGATAACTGCAGGCTCTGCAGAAAATGCTTAACCATGGGCGCAGGAGAATCTGATCGCCAGAGGTCACCACAAGACTCTACCTCAGCCAAGGATATTGCTTATTGGATTAAGCATGCAGTGGTTGAGGGAATTGCTGAATCCCAAGAGATCAAGAGATCAAGAGGGGAGACCTTCGGCATGAATTCAGATCAGTCTGACGATGAATACAGACAGACTTCATCTTACCTGGATTTGGAGCCAATCTCGTCCAGTGAAGAGGAGTATATGGAACAACCTTGCTCCTTGGACTCCAAAGCCATGGAGCATTTGATTATGGCTGTTAGAAGAACATTGGATTTACCAGAAGAAACCAGAGAATGTTCAGCTTCTGACAGACACTTTGGAGATTTGCATAAGAAAAGACCTTCCTTTCCAGTCCACAGCTCTATTAAAGACCTGATGAGGAACGAGTGGCAAATTCCTAGTAAAAGGATTACTAGTTAAGGTCGGCTTTCGAAGTTATACCCGATTAAAGAGGAGGATTCCAGATTGTGGACTACGGTCCCCAAAGTTGATGCTCCTATCATTAAGGTTGCTAAAAGATCCACACTACCAATTGATAGCAATGCTTCCCTTAAGGAGCCCATGGATAAAAGGATTGATGCTGATTTATCTAAAGCTTTCATGACAGCGGGTTTAGGTTGCCATCCAGCTGTGTCCATTTCTGCTTTGTCTAAAGCCATGCGTTCCTGGTTGCTTGACTTGGAGGATGACATAGATAAAGGTGTTAGTAGACGTCAGATGGTGGAATCCTTAAGGGATATCAAACTCGCCAGTGACTGGCTTTTGGAATCCTCCACTGACCTCATTAGAATTCTTTCTAAGGTTATGGCACATTCAGTCACCGCTAGAAGGGCGCTTTGGCTGAGATCCTGGGGGGCAGACCTTTTATCCAAGAATAATTTATGCTCACTTCCCTTTATGGGAGAAGTGCTTTCTGGATGAAGCTATTAAAAAGGCGTCCGAGGTTAAACAGGTCATGCTGCCACAAGATAGGCGTCCAAAGAGACCTCGTCTGGACCGTAGACCTTTTAGGGATCAAGGCTACTTTAGGGAAAGTAAGACTTACAGGCCGGGCAGAGAATTCTTAAGGAATTCCAATTGGAAGAGCGGCCTGAATGGGAAATCCTCTAGGGGCAAGACGCAGACCTCTTCCTTTCGCCCCAACAAGCAATTCTGAAGGTGGCTTACTCCAGGTTCCTCGAGTGGAAGCACGTCTTTCATTCTTTCAGAGGGCCTGGGACATCATTCCAGATGCTTGGGTAAGATCCATTATCACCGGAGGTTATCATCTGGAATTCGAAGAATATCCACCTCCACCAAGGTTTATTCGCACAGGGCTTCCTGCCAACATCCGAAAACAAGAGGTTTTGAGTCTTTATGTCAACAATCTTCTTATGGAAGAAGCCATCATACCTGTACCCATAAGAGAAAGATTCCAGGGATATTATTCTATTATTATTAGACCTATTTTAGACCTCCACCAGCTCAACCTTTATCTGAGAGGCAGAAGATTTCGCATGGAATCCATTCGCTCCATCATTCCGGTTGTTCATCACCGAGATTGGATGATATCAGTAGATCTCAGGGATGCATATTTTCATGTCCCTATCACGATCACCCATCAAAAGTTTCTCAGGTTTTGTGTCCGGAAGGAACACTTTCAATTTCAGGCCCTTCCTTTTGGTATAAGTACGGCCCCGAGGACCTTCTCGAAGGTTCTGGTCACCATCATTGCTTTGCTCAGAAAAGAAGGTGTAGCGGTGTTTCACTACCTGGACGACATCCTGGTAGTGGCCCTGGACCTAGGATCAATATTCCAACACAGACAACTAGTCCTCGACACTCTATCTCATTTCGGTTGGCTCATCAATTATGAGAAGAGTCACTTGCATCCTTCAAGAGAACTGATATTCCTGGGAGCAAATTTCAATACAGACACGGCAATTGTATCCCTCGCACATGACAGAAAGATCATACTTCAAGATCAGATAAGGGACTTCAGACTGAAGACTTCAGCCTCGGCAAGAGAGTTTATGATGCTTCTGGGGACTCTTTCCTCCACAATAGAGCTTGTCAGGTGGGCTCAGTGGAACCTTCGCGCTCTTCAACAATTTTTTCTGAAAAATTTCAGGACCGACTCAAGGGATTGGGAGACACTGATTCGCATTCCTTTTGTTCTGAAGCAGAAGCTCCTTTGGTGGATGTCGTGGGAAAATCTCTCCTGAGGGTTCCCCTTGCGGGAAATAGATTGGGTGGTCATTACGACAGATGCCAGTCTGACAGGTTGGGGGGCACATTTAGGCAATCGATTTTTTCAAGCAAAATGGCCTCCAAGAACCCAATGCTTGCCTTCCAACATCAGGGAGCTAAGAGCAACCTTTCTGGCTCTTCTTCATTTTCAGCATGTCATCAGGCATTGCTGGGTCAAGTTGAGAGTGGACAACAAAGCGGCTGCTGCTTACATAAACCATCAAGGCGGAACAAGGAGTGTAGCCCTGATGAGAGAGATCGTTCCCATTATGACCTGGGCTCAGAATCATGTGAAGGGCCTGTTTGCCACCTATCTCCCATGGAAGGAGAATATATTAGTGATTTCCTCAGCAGACATCGGATAGAAGCTTCGGAATGGCAACTTTCCAGGAGGATCTTCGCTCAGTTGGTCCAGAAGTGGGGACTTCCCCAAGTAGACCTCATGGCGACCTTTCGGAATGCGCAGGTTCCATGCTTTGTGTCGAGGAGATACCATCCAAAGGCGGTTGCTCAGGATGCTCTATCCATCAATTGGGTATTCGATCTGGCTTACATCTTTCCTCCAATTCCCCTCATCCACGCTGTCCTGAGAAAGATCTCCAAGGAACGTTGCAAGTTGATAGCTGTACTTCCCTTCTGGCCTCGTCGCCCTTGGTTTCCCCTGTTACAGAGGTTATCAATGGACCTGCCTTGGGAACTTCCAGTCTCGAAGACCTGCTGATTCAGGGTCCAGTGTTTCATCCGGTGCCTCACAAATTCAGGCTCCATGCATGGCTATTGAGAGGAAGTCTATAGTTGAACATGGCCTTTCGGACCAGGTTATCTCTACCCTGTTACGTTCCAGGAATCCTTCTACTTCTTCTACTTACCATAAGGTATGGGAAGCCTTTGCTCGATGGTGTAATTCCACGGTTCAAGATTTAGGTTCCCCTTCCATGTCTCAGGTTTTGGGTTTCCTGCAAGCAGGCCTGGAGAGGGGCCTTCAACTTAACACGCTTAAAGTGCACTGCTCGGCTCTTTCAGCTCTTTCTGGTATTCGTTGGGCATTGAATCCTATTGTAATTCGCTTCTTCAAAGCAGTCATTAGGATTAGACCTCCTATCAAGGTATTCTCTGCTCCTTGGAATTTGCCTCTGGTTCTGCAGGCCTTGACGGAACATCCCTTCGAACCTATTGATGAGGTCCCTATGCAGGTTCTTTCTCTAAAGACCCTGTTGTTACTGGCCTTGGTATTTGCTAGGAGAATGTCAGATATTAGAGTGCTGTCTTCTGAGGAACCGTTCACTACCTTCTTCGATGATAGAGTTGTGCTACGGCCTAGACCCGAGTTCCTTCCTAAGGTTGTTACATCCTTCCATCTGAATCAAGAGATTGTCCTGCCAGGGTATTTTCAGGAGCCATCGTCTCCTGAAGAAGAAAGATGTCATACGCTAGACCTAAGGAGGTGTCTTTCCACATAAATTGCACGCTCCGCTAATTGGAGAAAGTCTCCCCAATTGTTTGTGATACCTTGGGGTTCTCGTAAAGGTGAAGCTGCCTCTGTCGCAACCCTTCGTTCCTGGACTGTTCAGGCTATTTCTAAAGCTTACAGAACTAAACGGGTTCCAGTTCCCAAGGACATCAAGGCACATTCCACGAGGTCCATTGCTACTTCATGGGCTGCAGAGTCAGAAGTTCCTGCAGAGAGCATCTGTAAAGCTGCCAATTGGTCATCTTTGAAAAACTTTGTACATCACTACAGAGTGGATATCTCATCTCGTTCTGATTCAGAGTTTGGCCTATCTGTCCTGAACTCTTATAAGCCTTAAGTGGATATTAAACAATTTTTGTAGCATGACTTACCCTCCCTGAGTGGTTATTGCTTTGGGAATCCCATATGTTAAATGCTGCCATGATTAGCCAGGAATAGAGAAAATGTATTGATACTTACCGTAATTTTCTTTTCCTGGCTATTATTCATGGCAGCATTTGGTCTCCCACCCTCTCTTGGTTTATTTGTCTTGTTACTGGACTGAGGTGTGTAGGATACTGGGGTACCTAATATACTAGGGGAAGGTAGGCTTAATTGTTTAATTGATTGTGTTTCCTGTCCTGAGGGTTAGAGGGAGGAGCTAAACCCATATGTTAAATGCTCCCATGAATAATAGCCAGGAAAAGAAAATTACGGTAAGTATCAATAAATTTTCTCTATTATTTAATTAAGTAAAACCAGCATAATTACCAGTTATATTGTAGATTTTCTCTCAGATGTGTAGATGTGTCCAAGGAATTTTTGAATGCAGGTATGATGAGAATTGTGGCAAAATAGAAAAGTTTTTGTTAGTTGGGAAACTAATAGTAAGAATTAGGTGTCCAAGAGAGTATTGTTTCTTGAGTACAGTCCAAGAGTCAGAATATGTTTCAAAGAGTGTGAATGTCCCTAAGAGCTGAATCTCCCTAAGAGCTTGAATCTCCCTCTCTTCCCTTTGTCCTTACTTTTTAAAGGGAAAAACTTTCTGCACGTCACTAATTGATAGGACCAATAGGGAACTGTAGATGTGTCTTCCCTACAGACTAACATCTAGATTTTGGTCAGTAGGTGGCGCAATTACATCACCAACATTTCTTGTTAGGGGGTCCATTTACCTTTTTGTATAATGGGTTAATTTAAATTGGTGATGCTTTTTACATCATTTTCTTATCTCTTTTATGTCGATCAATCGCAGGACATGTCACTTCAAAGCATTGGTTCACTCTTATGCCAGACAGAGCGTCTGCAATTTCTATCGTAATTTTAGAATTGACACCTCCTAACCTTAATTTCACCCTTTTCTTACAATGGATTCCGTATATATATATATATAATTTTAGAACGTAAATTAATTACTTAGTGTTATCTGTCATTGGTGACTGGTTTTCTTGTGTGAAACTGTGTTTAAGATTATTTATACTCCACTAACATTAGTAGAAACATAGAAACATAGAATGTGACGGCAGATAAGAACCATTCGGCCCATCTAGTCTGCCCAATTTTCTAAAAACTTTCATTAGTCCCTAGCCTTATCTTATAGTTAGGATAGCCTTATGCCTATCCCATGCATGCTTAAACTCCTTTACTGTGTTAACCTCTACCACTTCAGCTGGAAGGCTATTCCATGCATCCACTACCCTCTCAGTAAAGTAATACTTCCTGATATTATTTTTAAACCTTTGTCCCTCTAATTTAAGACTATGTCCTCTTGTTGTGGTAGTTTTTCTTCTTTTAAATATAGTCTCCTCCTTTACTGTGTTGATTCCCTTTATATATTTAAATGTTTCTATCATATCCCCCCTGTCTCGTCTTTCCTCCAAGCTATACATGTTAAGATCCTTTAACCTTTCCTGGTAAGTTTTATCCCGCAATCCATGAACCAGTTTAGTAGCCCTTCTCTGAACCCTCTCTAAGGTATCAATATCCTTCTGAAGATACGGTCTCCAGTACTGTGTACAATACTCCAAGTGAGGTCTCACCAGTGTTCTGTACAATGGCATGAGCACTTCCCTCTTTCTACTGCTAATACCTCTCCCTATACAACCAAGCATTCTGCTAGCATTTCCTGCTGCTCTATTACATTGTCTGCCTACCTTTAAGTCATCAGAAATAATCACCCCTAAATCCCTTTCCTCATATGTTGAGGTTAGGACTCTATCAAATATTCTGTACTCTGCCCTTGGGTTTTTACGTCCAAGATGCATTATCTTGCACTTATCCACATTAAATGTCAGTTGCCACAATTCTGACCATTTTTCTAGTTTACCTAAATCATTTGTCATTTGGCTTATCCCTCCTGGAACATCAACCCTGTTACATATCTTAGTATCATCAGCAAAAAGACATACCTTACCATCAAGACCTTCTGCAATATCACTAATAAAAATATTAAAGAGAATGGGTCCAAGTACAGATCCCTGAGGTACCCCACTGGTGACAAGTCCAAGCTTCGAATATATTCCATTAACTACAACCCTCTGTTGCCTGTCACTCAGCCACTGCCTTACCCATTCAACAATATTGGAATCCAAACTTAAAGATTGCAGTTTATTGATAAGCCTTCTATGTGCAACAGTGTCAAAAGCCTTACTGAAATCTAGGTAAGCAATGTCTACTGCACCACCCTGATCTATAATTTTAGTTACCCAATCAAAAAAATCAATAAGATTAGTTTGGCATGATCTCCCTGAAGTAAACCCATGTTGTCTCTGATCTTGAAATCCATGTGTTTTTAGATGTTCATCAATCCTATCCTTTAACATGGTTTCCATCACTTTCCCCACTACTGAAGTAAGGCTTACTGGCCTATAGTTGCCCGACTCCTCCCTATTACCTTTCTTGTAAATGGTATTTAAGTAAATATGATATTTCTTCATTGATATTTATCCATGATAGTCTATATTATTAACATGATACTAATTATTTATGATTAATATAATAATAGGAAATTATAAGTGGATAGTGTGTATATGTATATATAATTATGTATACATTTGTCTCTGGGTTAGTTACATTCCATCCCCCTTTCACTGTCAGACATCATGCCTTATCACTTGTCTTGTTTACATAAGTTGCATTCCTTCGCACAGACTTTGGATGAATAGAGTGGAGAGAGAAATCTTGTGTATGTCTTAGCCTTGTAATACAAAATGGAGTCTGTAACGGACCGTTTTGCACACAAGAGGTTAAAAACCGTTTAGGCAATATTCCCCTTTCAGATGCACAGGCAGCTACTGCAATCCACAATCTCCCGAACGGCAAACTACATGAATCCGCCAACTCCTGAACAGGAAACACACAAACACTGGAAACAGCCGAACAGGAAAAGCATACAATCAGCTTACACTCCTGGCAATCAGCATACAATCCAATTCCCCCAATAACGAGACGACACTATGTTTTGAGGTCAAGCAGAACTGGTTTACTGGGGCTACCTGCCCGGCTTTTATGCAGGTCTTCCACCCGGTGGACATTCCCCTAGGGGACCAGATGGAAGACTGGGAACCATATTGGACAGTAACCAATCACAGACATACACCACAGAACACACCCACAATACATCACAATCCTTTCTCTCTATCCTGGAGATAATTGGGAAGTAATCCAATTATCTCCCAGGACAGAAGCAAAACTCCATTGAGCACATGATAATAAAAAGACTCAAAAATACCCACTGTTGCAAATAATTAACAAAACACCATACATTTTACATATCCCCAGATAGCTTAGATCTGAGCGCACATTATTACCGAATGGCGCTCAGATCACATACATACAGTTCAATCGCCATGGAGCCAAAGTCTTTTCCATAGTCTTTCGTTACACGAATAGGCTCCATGGCATAGCTATCTGGGGTGATGCTGTTCATACAGTCAAACTACCGAATGAACAGTCATTCAGTTCCACTACCGAATGCAGAGGTAAGGAGGCTGGCGGCTCAGCGGTGTTCGCGCAAATAAGTGTCCGTTTCTAGTTCCATAGTTTGGGCGCTGAACACCGCTGGCCGTTCGGGAGTTAAAATGGCCGCTGCCACGTGTTCGGCAAACGAACAAAGGCCACCCAGCATTCGTCAATTAACTGTGGTTAACCGCAGCTTCTGGGTGGTCAATTGACGGCACACTCCAGTTCCCAGGTGGTCGGTCGTTCGGTACTTGGTTCGGTAGATTGAATCTACCAAACCCCAGGCAGAAAAGCATGAATACGCCTTTCTACTGGGAAAAAAAAAGGTTTTAAATGCTGGGCCATGGTCTAAAGGGAGCAGGCGAGCAACCAGGCTTCTCCAGTGCACAGTGGCGAGGTTGGTTTCGCCACAGAGTCACCTCTGTTCTAAGAGTGACTGGCAGTATACACTTTAATTTCTGTCTTAACACAAAATGTCTGCCGATATAATTATACTGACATGATCTTGATTTTCTGGTATTTGACTTTGGCTTTGTTTTGACTTCCCTGATATCTGGTATCCTTGCCTTTTGGCCTTCCCTCATCTTTGTGTCTGATTCTGTGTCCCTGACCCCGGCAAGTATATTTTGACTATTCTTGGAGACGTTAAGTCCGGCCATTCTAAGTTCTGGTTATATGTTATCATTAGGGGTGTAACACAGTACTGCATGCTGGATCAACTTGTAATCCTGACACTTCCCTCCCAAACTCCTCTGGGGCATCCCAGGACAACTTGGGTATTTCTACCGTCGTTGTTGGGGGAATCATCTCTTACCTGGATCTCGTCAGAACGTAAGCCAGTGTCATGGTCTTAAGCAGGTCAGATAAGAGAATTTGGCCAGGGTTAACATTTGGTTCTTTATTGGTAAGTTTAGACATAGTAAAGTAGTGTCACATGTTTATCCTCACCTTGTGACATTGATAGCGGTTGCCTTGCCAATAAGGGCGGTAGTGCAGTTCAGCAGCCATGCGTCAATGTGTCTGACCCCTGCGGCATGTTGAATGGACGCCAGCCGCTCCGGATCAACACTAATTTATAACACCACGTTCGCCCACGGCATGGAAGACGTCAACGTGCATTTGACGTCACGTAAAGGACACACACGCACGTTCCTGGGTCAAAGGCTGGTTTCGGCCAATCGGATCCACAAGAGGGGTATTTAAGGTTATCTATTCCTTCTGCTCATTGCCCTGTTGTGGTTTCCCTAGTGGTTGCCTGAGAGTGTATTCCTGAGTGTTTATTTCTGGTTATTGACTTTTGCTTCATTTGACTTCCCTGTATTCTGGTATCCCTGACTTTTGGCTTTCCCTCAGCGTTGTGCCTCTTTCTGTATTTCTGACCTCTGCAAGTATTCTGACTATTCTCTGGTACGTTAAGTCCGGCCATTCTAAGGCCTGGTAAGACGTTACCTTTTAGTCCTAGGTGTGATATAGTTCTTGTGATCCTGACAAGTAGATGGAAATCCTATAAGTGAAATTATAGGCAGAAGGAAAATAGGAGAATATATAAACAAAATTATAGGCAATAGGTAGAAGGTGAACCTATAAAAGATATTATAGGCAACAGGTAGAAGACAAAACCTATTAATGAAATTATAGGCAGTAGGTAGAAGGTCAAATAATAGAAATAGAGGTTTAGGCAATATGCCCCAGACAGGTTATTAACAGGATATAAGTGGATAGTAAGAAATCCTATAGATGAAAGTATACAGGATATTTAGAGGGAACAGAACAGTAAGGTTTCAGAATTGCAAGTGAAATAGACGTTTAGGGAATCAGCCCCCTGTTAGGAAGGAGCTCTGATAATTCCGGTAAATAACACCATGCAATAACGGATAGTAGCGTAGTTCAGGTTGGTATGATGCAGGTTGGTAACAAAGTAGGTAAGGTTATAGGAGCCAGGAACAGAAGTCTTTTAGGTAGACTATCAACTTTAATGTAAATACCCAGTTTTGAGCTGAGAGTGGCCTTTTGTAGAAGAAGTAATCAGCTCAGGCAGGTGAGGTAGAGTGAAGGAAAGTTCAGTCCTAGTGGTTAGGGAGGCCACTAGTGGTGGAAAACTGCAATTGTTAAACATAATTTAGGTTGTCAAGATAGGATCCTGACAGCTTTTTTTGTGTGTTTCAAATATCCGAGTTTAGTCCTATAATTACTTTTGTTGTGTTTTGACTATCACAGTTCAGGCCTAGTAGTTTTTCAGTTTTGAATATATTTGCTACATAAAACAAAGGTATAACAGTTTTTTTTGTGTGTTTCAAATATTTGAGTTGAGTTTTGTTGTGTTTGGTTATCATAATACAGGCCTAGAGAAACCCCCCCCCCCTTTTTTTTTATTTTTTTTTATTATTTCTGGCCTGCATTTTAATACACTATAGGCTTCCATACTTTATATTTTTTTGTGTGTCTTGAATATCCTAGTTCAGGTACCCTGTACCCTCTACCCTCCAGGCCTTGCAATTATATATTAATATTTTAATATGCTAATTTAGGCACTGTTACAAACTGCTATTTGTAACTGGCCCTTTAAATGACAAATTGCCCTGCTTCCCTGGGTTGTGGAGAAGCCTATTTGCCAGCCTCCTCCCGCATGACTATGGCCCCTGGGAGATTGTGAAAACGTATGGACTTTTATTGGATGTGTATAGCCCTTTAAGACAGTCGGTGGGCATATTGGGGCTTATGGACTCTTTATGGGACTGGTGCTGGCCCTTTAAGCACCTTTTTGGGGCATAGGGAAAATTAGGACACTGCCCCTTTAAGACTGTGTCCTCAGACTTGGTTCGGACACTGCCCCTTTAAGACAGTGTCCCCTGTGTCCCCAGACCTGGTTCACACCCTTTGTTCCTGGCTATTTCCCACTTGGTTCAGTAAATGGGGCTTACTGACCCAAGTACCACACAGGCAGACCACCTGTATTGGGAGTGTGTTGGCAATTTACCTCCCAGAAGCTGCGGTTAACCGCAGCTTAATTGACAATGCTGGGTGGCCTTTGTTTGTTTGCCAAACACGTGGCGGCGGCCATCTTTGATCATTTGCACGAGGTCAGCGGTATGTGTAGCCAAACTCATGGAACTAAAATTGGCTACACATTTCCGCAAACACCGCTGAGCCCTACCTTCTCCCACAATGATTTTACAGCCGCAGAGACTAAGTCCCATTCGGGGACAGCTATAATCACTACAGGGATTGCTATGCTCTTCATACTCCCTTAGCTACTGAGCTCTTGTTCCTGATCCTGCTTCGCTCTACAGAAGGAAGAGATTCACCTACTGGAACCTGGAGCTTGGTCGTAGGTCCAGGGTGGATAGCAGACGGCGAGATCCTAGCCCAGCAGTGGCGGTTCTTTGAGTCTGCAGTACTTATGGTGTCTACACAGTAGTTATGGTGTCTACGGTGCTGATGGTCCTGTGGTGAGCGCTAGGAGCATCCTTTCTACGGTCCAACTTTCAGCCAGCCTGGAGGCAACCATAACAGGCACTACTGGTTTTGAAGTTAATTAGCAAGTATTACCTTCACCATACTAAGGTAAATATAATTTGCATTGTGGGTACTAGTCTCTTTTCCTATATACAGGCCATATCCTAAGTCAAGCTTCACAGTAGAGTTGTGGATATTGTGTTCCCCACCCCCACGAAGGTAATTGAGTTTTTTTTTTATTATTATTTACACCTGGCCTACGGAATAGACATCAACTATTGTTGGCTATTCACAAGCGTGCTACTTTAGTTGCAAATTGATTTAAATTGGGTTCTTACTTGGGTGAGTAAAAGAGTAGGAATGTCTTTTCAAGGGGCCAAATACTTTTCCACAGAAGTACGTAAGTACTTTAGGAAACATATTCAAAAACATGATGGTCCATATATATGCTTCCAGAGCCAGCAAACCCAGACAGTGAAAAATAGGATAGATTAATGGATGTACTAACACAAATTGTAAATAACAAAAAGTATAGAACAAAGAAAAGAAAAAGTTTGTTCACACACGCTGTTGTAGCCACAATAGGGGGCTTAATAGACATAGTTGTAGAATTACGGCAGCATAATTTGGAAACAACAAATAAAATGGAGGAAGTAATGGACAAAAGGGATTGTTTAAAAATTGCAGCTTTGAGAACAACTACGATTGTTGGGGAACTAGAAAAGGAGTTAAGAGAAATAGAAGAGCAGAGGAATGCTTATGAAGTAAAAATAACAGAACTTCAAAACATAATAATGGACTATAAAAATAAAACAAAATTAGAAGGGATAAAAGAAGAAGTTAGAGACATTGCCAAAATATATTCAGATCGGGATATGTTCGTGGCACAAAATAAAGAACCAGTGCTGAAATTGAACCAAAATAGAAAAAAGTTCTTCTGTTCTACAAGTAGATACCATACCACAAGCACCAGTTATTGTATCAGAATTATTTAATGCAAGGCAAGCACCTACAGGATTCTCTATGCAGACTCAACCAATGTGTATGGCAGATAAAGACAATTTCCAGAAATGGTGGGGAAGTATGCCAACTAACCACTAATAACAGTGTGTCTGATCAGGCAGGAAGAATTGCTGCAACTAATTTCTATCTACTTGGCATAGAGAAAGAAATAGCGAATATTAGCATGAGGCCAACAGGTAGTCCTAGAGAGGTAGCCCAGTCATCGGTTATTGTTCTGGTCTATATTGCGCCAACCTCAACAGCCCCTGGTGTTGGGCTCACCAGAACACACTGCTAAAGTAATGGAAGCCCTTCCTTGGGAGTGTCAAAAATGTGTCAGGCTTTTTGATCCAACACCAACAGACTTAGAAATGGTACTAACTAGAGCTGACAATTGGTGGATCAAACATCCTTTCACAGACCAGGCCTGCTCTGTTTTTAGCCGTAAGAACATTCAAGGTCGAGTCTGGTAAAGATATAAATGGTAAATTGAGAAACCAGAGGTGGGATGTACCCCAGAACAAGAGGGATAAATGAGAACTGGAGACCAAAACAGGACTTTGATAAAAGAGGGGCCATAGGAATAGGGACAGTGCTAAAGGAAGCTATGTAATGGGAGATAATTAAAGAAATAGATTGGAAGAGCCTCAGGCAATCAACAATAATTGGAATAATAATAACTGGGAGAGGCTAAAAATAATTAATAACTGGGAAAATCACAGTTGGGGAGAAAAACAAAGAAACAACAGGAACCGTTATTGGGAGAATAATAGGAGGAGGAACCATAGATGGGATGAGCATCAGACCAATAGACGGAATTGGGATAATTGGAGGAATAAAGAAGGGAATAGAGAATACTGGGACCTAGAGACAGACTGAGAGATTGGAGGCAGACATGAAAGAGCTTAGGGAACAGATGAGAGAGAAGGGAAAGATTGATCAATTGGGGGGTCCCAGCAATTAATAACTCCCATAATGAATGTTTGTTTTTTGTTCTCTACATCTGTGTGTATGTTTTTTTTGTTTGTTTTGTTCTTTCTCTCAGTTTTCCAGTCTCCTGTAAAGCTATACATTGCTCTAGTGTTCCCACATAGCAAGGCAAAGCTGTATTAGGATGATGATGTGTGTCAACAGAAGATCGTGGTGGATCCTTGTTACAGGATGGATAAGTATAAGCTGTATCACAGTAGGGACGGGGAGACAGGCAATACGACCAGAAGATACTCCAAATAAGGTAGTCAGTTTAAAAAGATTAGAGTCTGCATTTTAATAATCCTTCTATTCCTCCAAGGTGTCTGGAACAACAGCGGCATTGGTTTAGGCAAAGCAGGGAGTTGGGAAAAACGGGACATATTTGCAGCCCTTCTGGGAGGAGTCGGAACTGGATTGGGAGTAGAGACACATCTAGCCCTACGAACTCTGTCGCTAGTACTCGTTATAACACTATACTTTTGTGTGGCAATTAAATAGATGAGGAAGATACAAGGCCCTGGGGAGATAGCGTAGCTAAGCGGGCAAGGGCACATGTAGGAGTGTGGAGATAGATGCATGGGATTGGTTGGGAAAGAATGTGTGGGTGGGATTATATTCTGTGTAAGTTAGTGTGGGGGAGGTCTTACCTCAGTGCCACTTGGGATTTGGGCCAGCAAACAGCTTCCCTCCCGCCCTATTGGTATTTAGTCACAGCAAGCCGGGGGTATGTCCTTGCCAATTTAGTTTGAGGGATTACGTTTAAGTATATGGAATAAGATGAACAAGTTTTAAGGTCTCAACCTCCCCTGCTTAAAAGGGTTAACCTTAGGTTACCTGGGATGTCGTGCCCATCGAGCATGCTCAGTTTATTGGCAAGGAAGGTTGGATTCATTGTATGACAGTATGTGTTAAGTTATGTATATATGTTAAGTTATGGTTATTTATGTTTAACGTTTTGGTTACAGAAGAAGAGAAATTATTAAATAAATTGTGGATGTGTTATGCAGTATTTGTCATATGTTATAATAAATGCTATGGCCTGTTTCATCCATACTACGTTGTCTGTCATTATTTTGGAAAGTTGTTGAATTGGGTTGGTCTATGTATTATCCTGCATTGCGATTCCCCACTACTTACATGAAAAGGGGGATATATTATAACTGTTTTGTTTTTTTCTTCTCTCTCTCATACATTCTTCAATAAAGTTTTACATTGCACATCTATAAACATTTATCCCACACGCACTCACCTAAATTCTATAAGTTCTGTTTTTTTTTGTGACAAATTTGCATAATATGTGAATTGACAGCCATAGGAAAGTACATGAGAACTTATGTCGCTGAGGGAAATATTACGGAGGGACGGTGGGTTGAATTTCTCCTGTATATCAGGTTTTTGCTCCCACTAGGTTCTCTTGTACTATTGGGATAACTAGATAATGGAGCAACATAGAAGAAGAAAAAGTGGGGGAATGTGAGGTGATGCAACCCATATTTGACTTTTCTTTCACCATACTTATATCCCTCACTATAATTCCTGTGTTCCCCTTTCCTACTTCAGATCTCATAGATTAGATAGATAAGAGGGATATATAAAAAGTTAGGGAATGTGGTGACATTTTGTCATCAAACTAATATGGTGAGAAGGGGTCATGTAACCAAGCTCATGTATGCCTTTCTTACACGGGGATAAGCTTTACCCTTTAATATGGTAATTGGGTAATTCAATATCTTTACAAGTCAGGAAAGAGATAACCACCTCCCCCCTATCTCCATTCCTCCCTGTTCCTTCTTGGCTGTGCTACAGAGCAGATGTGAGCAGAAGCCATGTGCTAGCATGGTGAACTATATTACACTCTGTTGCTTCCTTTTCTTCTTTGGTGGATGTGATGTTGAACTTGCAGTACTGAGCCATAACTAGATGTGAAGGCCTAAGCATGGGTGAGATCAAACGTGTGGGGAAGGGGATTACTATATAGAAAGATTTAAAAAGGGTTGTTGCTCCGTGGGGTCTGGGCTGTGTGTTTGTGATAAATTTATAGTATTGTGTTGTTGCCTTCTAATAAATACCTTTTAATGTAGACGAACCTTGTGTAATATATATATTCACCACAACAGCCAGCCTCCGCAGTTCGCGCTTGCAGTCGGGTGGTGACTGGATGAGCTTTTGCAGTGCTCTGGGCAACATAAGCTGCAGTAATAGGTCCCAAATCATTTACCGTGCCGGATCCAGCTCCCCAGTCCAGGTGAACCTGGGCGGTAGGTAGCCTGTAAATACCCAAACTGCCACAGACTGTCCAATGTCCCAAACTAAGTGTCATTCCATTAAAGTCAAGGTAGCTCCCGTATCCTGAAGTCCACGAGCAGTGTGATCATTCACTAGGACCAGTTGTCGATGTTGTTGCCGGTTGTTCATGGTGGCTGCTTGAACTGGATCCACTTCAGGTAGAACCCCCTAGGATTTTTCTGGTATACTATTGGAGGTATTTCAGGGGGGTGATCTTTCAGCCTCCAGGCAGTGGGCTGTGGCCCTGAGTGCTGGAGGGCTAGAACGGTTCTGGGTTGCTCCTAATGTGCCCCGCTTGCTGTCACCGGAAACATAGTGGGCCTGCCTTGGCTGGAGGAGCATGGTGCCCTCGTGGCCCACGGTAGGCTGGGTCGTTGGTCCCGTGGAAATAGCCTCTGTTCGGGGCATTGGTCTAACAGGTGGGGGTTTTCCTGGTGTCGATATATTCATCAGCCAACCGAGCGGCTTCACGCAGGATAAGAGGTAGTCTGTCTTGGATCCATTCCCAGAGTTCAGGGTTAATCACATTATAAAACTGTTTGAAGAATATGAGCTGTAGGATATCCTCAACCGAGACAGCTTTGCATACGGATACCCTGTGAGAGGCAGTTTGGTGGAGACGAGACACCTACTCTGTGTATGATTCTCTTTTGCTTTTCTTCAATTCCCTGAACCTCCTGCAGGAGGCTTCATGGGTGACTGCAGAGCGGGTCAACAGGGCTTCTTTGACTTGGTCATAATTGTAATTCTCCCTATCTGGTATGGCTGGAAATGCTTCGGCAGCTCTGTCGGATAATTTCCCAGCAAAGATTGGGACCCAGTCCTACTCTGGTACCTTATGCAGGACACACTGCTGCTCAAAATATGCGAGATACTCATCAATTTCCTTGTCAGTCTCCTGAAACGCTTTAAATGCTGAGAATTGGATCTTTTTTTGTTAAGGCTGTGGGGGAATGTTCTCCACTACAGGGTTTCCTGTACGCTGTACTTCGGCTAGCCGTAGTTGATAATCCCGCTATGCTTGAGCTACTGCGTCTGCCTCCACCAGAATCTTTAGTATCACTTCGGCTGGAGGGTTTGGCCTGAACAAAGCCAAACAAATCTAAATGTCCCACATCTGTTTGGTATCCTTGACATCCGCTGCGGTTGCACCGAAAGGCAGGTATGGTTCTGTCCAGCCCTTTTGTCAGGTGTGGGCTGTGGCCCAACACGCAGAATCAAGACAACTGGAAAAACGTATTACCGTGCCCTAGAATGGTCGGATTTAACGTAGAAAGAATAGTCAGAATCAAGCCGAAGTCAGGGACACTGACAGGAGCATAAACGAGAAGACAAAGTCAAAGGGTCAGGGATACCAGAAATACGGATAGTCAGAGTAAGCCAAGATCAAAAACCAGGAATAATAAACGCGCTCTCAGATAACCAAAGAAGTGGAAACCACGACAGGGCAAAGAAGAAATAAAGAAATTGGCTTTTATAGCCCTTCCCCATCATTCATTGATGGACAGGGATCACCTGACTCTAAAACGTGCGTTTGCACATCTGCGTGACCGCTAACCTTGCTGGAGGCAGGGCTATATCTTTTTATGCTTTTACAACGGCTTGGGATACAGTTTGCTGGGAATGGACGCGCCGGCCGTGATTCGCCGCAATTTAGGTAAGTTGTGTCTTTTGTGTAAGTGGCCACACCGATCAGGTGCGGCCACATGGTATCGCGGGTTGGGGGCCGTAACACCTATGAGCTCTGCTATCAGGGCTCTTTTAGGTCGGTTGTTGGTGCTACGTCCCCGGCTTTCCAGCAAGTCTTTTAATGTAGACTTTTTCAGTTGTTTGTAGCTGCTCTTCATCCGCTGACTCGCAATTATCTCCTGGCTCTGTATTCAATCCTGGGAAAAAGGACCATTCCACCACGGCCACCAGATGTGGTGGCCACTCGTGTAGGGACACGAGTCTCGCCGCCAAGTATGTCCTTTCCCCTTTCCAGAATCCCCGTCAGCGCCATCTTTAGTGATTAAATCAAAGTGAAGTGACATAGCTCTTTCCCCCAGACATTAGCCGAGATTTAATGCTGGAAGTAATCTGGTTTATTCAAGGCAAGGCACTCTCAATTTGTACACAAACCCCAGCATGGGGTTTCCATACAAAGCAATACAAACACCTCCCAGGCGTCCCTGTGTCTGAGAAATAATTAAGTCAAAGACTGGTAACTCAATTAACTCTCAGTTACAGGGAACCACAGAGAAAATACACCAAAACCACACTCAATTTTCACAGGAATCCCACAAGTCTTATATGCCCAAATAGTCTGGATCCAAGCGCCCAAGTTGTCCAAATAGTGCTTGGATCCTTTCAGTGGAACGGAATCGCCAACGGGTAAAGTTTTTATCGGCCAGCCATGAGGTTGTGGCCCAAAACAGTTCCATGTCAAAAAGGCTGCAGGTGGTCAACTTTCGGGAGTTCCTGTGTGTATCGGATCGACGGGCACCCCGACTGGGTACCTCCATTGAAGGATGCTCCTAGCGCTTCCTGAGGACTCCAAGCACTGCAGCAGACACCACAACCACCGAACTGGAGAAGCATACGAATGCTCTCAAGCATTTGAATGCTTTAAGCAGCTGAACAGGAAAAGCATACAATCAGCTTACACTCCTGGCTATCAGTATACAATCCAATTCCCCCAATAACGAGACGACACTTCGTTTTGAGGTCAAGCAGAACTGACTGTACTGGCACATACAGCCTCTTTTATTCACAATCCACAAACATAGTACTGCCCACAGGGTTTTGAAATACAACCAATCAATCCGTACAATACACACAGACACTCCCACACAAAATCCCCCCCTCTGCCTGTGATATGATTACTGAACACAATGGTTAATCTAATTATCACAGGCAGAGAAGTACAGTATTATAAAACATATCACAGGGACCCCAAAACATGCAATAACCCCATAAAAATAGTATAGTATATCCTCGGAACCAGGGGATCTGGGTGAACCACATATCCAAAATTCACCCAGATCCGTTCAGTAATTTGGCAGATTACGCAGAACATATACAGGCTATATGAAAAATAATTACTGTATAATGTGTCCCCTGTTGTATAGTTTGAAACTACTGAACGATGTCTTCATGCACCAAATACTGGCGAGATGGCACCGTGTAGAAAAGTCCAAACAGTGTCTGTGAGTTAAAATGGCCAGCAGCAGCATAATAAAATACAATATGCCCAAATACTGTATTTAAAGGGCCAAATCTCCCAGGGGCCATAGTCAGCAGGCAGGCAAACAGGCTTCTCCAATGCCCAGTGGCGAGGTTGGTTTCGCCACACTGTGTGCATAAAACCAAATGCTCCCCCTGGCTCTAGGGAGCAAATGCTCCTCTTGTTCCTATGAGTTGTTGTCCTGAAAAGCGTTCTCCTGGCTTATTTAGGAGGGAAGCAGGCGGCGGTACAAGTTCAGCAGTGTTCGCGAGGTAGCATGTCAGATTTCAGTTCTGTGGCGTACCGCCAGTATATCGCCACCACGGACTCCCTTCCCAGTGTGAAGTAGCTCTACCAAGTTGTGGAAGTGATTATAGCTGGTATAGCTCCCACCTCCCCCCCCATACATTAGTCGAGACTGAATACTGGGAGTAGATCTGTTTATTTCAGGCAAGCACTCTCAATTTAAACACAGACCCCCGGCAAGTGCTCTCCATACAGAAATAGCGTGCCTGAGACAAAATTGAGTTAGGAAACTGTAACTAAATTATCTCTCAGGTACAGAAAAACAGAATGAATCTTACAACAGCCCAAAAGTAACCCCAAAATACATGGAAACCCCTCAATATTCATACCCCCGGATAGCCCTGATCTGAGCGTCCAACATATCCAAATAGCGCTCAGATTGGTTCGGTGGTAGGAAATTGCCACTGGGGTAAAGTTGTGACTGGCCGGCCACGACGTAGAAGCCCAAAATAGTTCCAGGGAAATGGTGGCAGCGGTGGGATGGCTTCCTAGCGACTGGGGAAACATCCCTGGGATACCTGCACATCTTCTGGAGAGGGATAGCGCTACCACTCGTACAGCGTCCTTTTCGGGAAAGGAGTTCCAGAAGAGAATGTCAGAGGGATTGGCTTTCTTCAGGGGAAATACATAAGCAGAGGTGCCCACAGTCTTAGAGCAGGCAACCATTGCATCCTCTGACTCTTACTCAGAGTTTCTGTTCGAGGTGCAGGAGCGACTGGCCTGGTATGGCTCTAATGTTTTGATGGAGACCTTCCAGACAACCAGGAGACTGTTGATATACAAGCCAAGAGAGACCACAAGTTCCTGATGGCAAAGATGAGGGAAGGAGGTCTCCAGCGAAAAGAGGTGGAGGCAGAGGTGGAGCAACTGATCTAGGAGGATGTGCCCACAAATTTCATTGACTTTACATCAGAGAATGTTAGCCTGCCTGCCCTGCAACAGCTTGTGTTACTGGGAACGGAGACAATCGGCCTACCTCTCCAGCGGCAGGGTGCACCCTCAGCAGAAGAGCTGGCAGGAGAGTTGGTCTCTGCCCACAATCCCCTGAGGTTTGTGGCACGGGAGGTGTGGATAGGACCGTGTTCTCCACACCTTTATCACAGGGATGCTGGGCAGTCAGCCCAGATCCCCAACCCCTTAGCATGGAAACCCAAGCCACCCTGATATCTTACCATCAGCAAAGTAAGTGTCTAGGATATGGTGCAGGGGATATGGTCCCATCTACCCAGCGGCAGAAAGAGCTCTGCAGTGACTCTGTATGTACCAGGGAGAGGAGCTTTCTCCCCAGCAGCAGAATGACGAGCTCACCACAACCCCAGCTGAAACGCTGACATCAGAACAGAGTATGGCTGGCCTCTGTTCCCAACTATTAAAAGAGGTGTGACACACCCCTCTCCAAGTGACTTTGCCACAAGCTCCTGGAGGAGCCTGCTTGCCAGCCTCCTGCCCACAGACTATGGGTCCTGCAGGGAAACCTGTAAAAGACTACCAAACTTGACCGACTGTTAGCACTGATTTCTCTGGAACTGTTTTGGGCATGGGGCCATGCATGTGGTCGGTCAAAACTATGACTTTCAGGAATTTCCTGAACCCCTGCTCTGATCTGGGTGATTTTTGGATATGTTGTTCACCCAGATCAGGGCTATCATGGGATGTGATTATGGGGATATGTTATGTTTTGGGGTACTTTCTGAAATGTGGTTTTTCTGCCTGGAGATAATTGAGTTACTTACAGAACTTTACTTAATAATCTCGTTAGCAGAGGGGAGGGATTGTGTGCTTTACATGGGCGTGTCACAGACTGTCTGTATGTTCTGATTGGTTTATGTCCTTTGTGTTCCTGTGCCCCATCAGGTCCAGGGGGTGTTCCTTTGGCCTGGAAAATTGTATAAAAGGCCAGTGTGTCCCATTAAACTTCAGATTCCTGCTTACACTCCAAAACTGTGTGTCGTCCAGTTATTGGAGGGAAAGAAGATTTGTTCCTGTGTCTGCTGCTCCAGCTTGCAGGAGATTCAACAGGGAAAGTCCTTGTAAGGACTAGAGCTAATTTCCCATTCGGTTCCAGAGGTCCCAGGACTGAGAGTCGTCGAGTGCCTGGAGGTGTCAGAGCTAATTTCCCCTTCGGCTCCAGGAGTGAGGTGGCGGTTCCAGGGCCCCAGTCAAGCTATGGCAACTGAGGGCAAGAAGTGCTGCGGTTTGTCAACTGTTCCACCTAGGAAACTGTCCTTTGGCGGCGGTACCCAGTCGGGGTGCCAGGTGATGCATTACAAGAGGATATTTGTCCTTTATTGGTGCAGGGGACTACTGTCTTCACCAGTGTAATCCTTGGATCCTGGGCAGCCTGGCCACTCAACTACCTCCTCAGCAACCGGCAGAGTTACTGTGAGTGAAGACAGTTGGTCTTGGGTTGCCAGCAGTGGAGGTTGTCAGTCTCCCTCCCCAACGAGACAATGAACTTACAGGATGGAAATGGACCATCCCACCACTGCCACCAGATGTGGTGGCCACTCGTGTAGGGACACGAGTCTTGCCGCCAAGGATGTCCTTTCCCCTTTCTAGAATCCCCGTCAGCGCCGTCTTTAGTGATTAAATCAAAGTGAAGTGACATAGCTCTTTCCCCCAGACATTATCCGAGAGGTAATGCTGGGAGTAATTTGGTTTATTCAAGGCAAGGCACTCTCAATTTGTACACAAACCCCAGCACGGGGTTTCCATACAAAGCAATACAAAGACCTCCCAGGCGTCCCTGTGTCTGGGAGATAATTAAGTCAAAGACCGGTAACTCAATTATCTCTCGGTTACAGGGAACCACATAGAAAATACACCAAAACCACACTCAATTTTAACAGGAATCCCACAAGTCTTTTATGCCTGAATAGTCTGGATCCAAGCACCCAAGTTGTCCAAATAGTGCTTGGATCCTTTCAGTGGAACAGAATCGCCAACGAGTTTTGATCGGCCAGCCATGAGGTTGTGGCCCAAAACAGTTCCATGTCAAAAAGGTTGCAGGTGGTCAACTTTCGGGAGTTCCTGTGTGCATTAAACCAAAGCTCCCCCTGGCTCTAGTGAGCAAATGTTCCTCTTGTTCGTATGAGTTGTTCATTCTCCAGGCTTATTTAGGAGGGAAGCAGGCGGCGGTACAAGTTCAGCGGTGTTCGCGAGGTAGCGTGTCAGATTTCAGTTCTTAGTGTACCGCCAGTATATCGCCACCACAGACTCCCCTCCCAGTGTGAAGTAGCTCTACCAAGTTGTGGAAGTGATTACAGCTGGTATGGCTTCCCCCCAATACATTAGTCGAGACTGAATACTGGGATTAGATCTGTTTATTTCAGGCAAGCACTCTCAATTTAAACACAGACCCCCGGCAAGTGCTCTCCATACAGAAATAGCGTGCCTGAGACAAAATTGAGTCAGGAAACTGTAACTCAATTATTTCTCAGGTACAGAAATACAGAATGAATCTTACAACACACCAAAAGTACCCCCAAAATACATGGAAACCCCTCAAGATTCATACCCCCGGATAGCCCTGATCTGAGCGTCCAACATATCCAAATAGCGCTCAGATCGGTTCGGTGGTATGAAATTGCCACTGGGGTAAAGTTGTGACTGGCCAGCCACGAGGAAGAAACCCAAAATAGTTCCAGGGAAATGGTGGTAGAAGTGGGATGGCTTCCTAGCGACTGGGGAAACATCCCTGGGATACCTGCACATCTACAAGGTTGGCCAGATGTTTTGGGGCGGGTTGCCGGACTAACTCAGGAACAGACCGACTGGAGGTCTGGTACCTGGCTAGTCTACCTTTGGGGGAGCAGAAGGACACTTTAAAGTGGTTCCCAAGTCTGGTTTGCCAGCTCTCCTGTACTGCCGAGTATTGCTACCAACAAGTTGAATTTGGCTATGGAGCCTGTGTAGCGCTCTCTGTTGGAGCAACAGCAATATGCACTACCTGAATAGCAAGGCTGGTAAATTTGCATATTCAGGTAGATTTGCATATTGCTGTTTCTGCAGGCAGGAGAGATGTTTTGTGTTTAATACTGTCTTCCACACCCCTTTTATAAAAATGTTTCTTATTATAATTTTCTGTATATTTTGTGACTTTTTTTTTTATTTTAATTTCATTAGGTTTGTCACAGCAATGTATATGTAATGATCATATGGGCTAGTCCCAAGTAAAAGTTTGGAACTTGTGTCCTGTGTGGATTTGTATAGATCCCAGTGACAGAGTCTTCGGACCAGTTTGCTGGTTGCAGGATGCCTCTAGCCCTGGGATAAAGCAGGAGAGCTAGGCCTGAGAGCCAAAAGTGTCTTTTTTAAAAGACAAGAGCTATAACATTGCAGGCGGACGTGGATACCTGCCTGGAAGAAGGGCTGCAGCAGAAGAGGCAGAGGGTACTATACCTGCCTGGAAGCAGGGTTGCAGTGTATGAGGCTGAGGAGACAATATCTGCAGCCTGGTTGGTGGAAAAGCTCCAGAAGGCTCCAGTCAAGCTCCAGTCAAGCTTTGGCAACTGGGGCTAAAGAGTTCCAGGGTCCCTGCAAGCGGCTAGGAAGCATACTAGGCGGAGGTACTCTGTCGAAGTACAGGAGCTCCATCAAAAGGTCCATGCAGTCGACGTCCAAGTACCGCCTGCCTTCGCGAGACAAAATGGCCGTCACTCTTCAAAACACATGTGTTTAGTCATACAAATGGTGGCCACCCAGAAGAGCACTTAAGTTAATGGGTTCTTCAAAGTTAATGAGCCAGGGGCTGTTTTGGGTACGGGAGGTATAAGAGGGGAAAACTGGGCTTTGTTTGGTAACTGAACAACCAGTGGTAAAACAAACTAAAAAAGTCTAATGAGTGATGGGGTGGTCTGTCACACAGATTAAATCCCACAGGATCAGAGAGGGGGCAGATTAAATCCTGGAGGATCAGAGAGGGAGCAGATTAAATCACACAGGATCAGAGAGGGAGAAGGTTAAATCACACAGGATCAGAGAGGGAGAAGGTTAAATCACACAGGATATGAACAGATTAAATCACACAGGATCAGGGAGGAAGTAGATTAAATTACAAACTTTAAGGGAGTAAAGCAGTCCTATAATAGACTTCTTCAGCATAGTAAAAAGAACAATTTATTATGAAAATGATTTCTCCAACATGAAGGATATAACTTATAGGGCTCCAAAATATAAAAAAATAACTGCTTTATTTTAAGCAGATGCAAAAGTCCAAAATTTGGCCCCATTACCTTGATATCTTGTAATGGTATGGAGACATTGACTATTGCTTGCCATTGACACACGCACAATCAGACTGAAATTGGCTGCAGAAAATAAATGATGGTCCAGGCATTCAAGGTAAATCTAAAGTGAACATGGCCAACATGGCCAAAGCTTGACAAATAAACCTGCTCACGTTGAATTTACCTTGAGTGCTTAGACCATCATTTATTTTCTGCAAATTACATTGTGAGGATTGGCCAACCTTAGGCCCGGTTGCACCCTGGGATCCAGAAGAGTGCAGTATCCTTTACCGTAATTAAAATCGCCTGCATGTCATTTATACCAGGCTTTAATTAACAACATTAAAGGAACTGTATAGGTAAAGAAAAAGATGCATATCATTCCCTCCCTAACAGTAAACCCAGTGTCACTTAATCCTTTTTTCCCTAAATAGTGTAAAAATTAGCTTTAGAAGTACCTGTTTTAATCTTTATTTTGATCAGATTTTCTGCTCCTCCCCTGATTGCATGTCATTTCTCCCTTTGACTGAAATACAGGAAGCAGGGAGAAAGCAGACTTTCCACCAATGGCCATGATCCAGTGATTCTCTATGAGAATCAGTAATGACACACCCACAATGTCTGTCCACCATTGGCAATGCTCCAGTGATTCTCTATAAGAATCAATAATGACACGCCTTACTGGGAGTGCCTGAGTTTCAATAAGCTCAACACATACCCCAAATGCCTGGCCACGCCTCCTCGGAGTCCTCAGTATTCAGACACTAGAACTTATAAACCACATCTCACACACACACACACACACACACACACACCACATTAGGTTTCAAATAGTGTCATATGTTTATTATAAATACATATAGAGACAGAAAAACTCATAAATACCTATAAAGCTATATATATATATTTATATTTATTTGTGTTAGGTGCTTATGATAGTGCAGTGTAAAATACCATAAATAAATGTAGGATAATAAAAAGAGCAAGTCGGTTGTGGTGTGCCAGAACCGACGATGAGGTAGGCCTGAGAAAGAAGAGGGCCTACCCAGGGAAAGAAAAATAGAAAATAAATGTTAAAATGTGGTGTGGTGGAAGGGTCATTCAATGCTGACCTCGAACGGTAAGGAGCAAGGTAAGGGGAGTGCCTTAAATAGGCTAGGGGTAGCAAACCAGCACCTCCCACAAATCCAGGCAAAATTGCCTTAATACTAGTGATAGTGAGGTTGGCTAACAGGGAAGGGGTTAACAATGGGTAGGGAGGTTGGCTGACAGGGAAGAGATAAACTGTGGGTAGTGAGGTTGGCTGCAGGGCCAGCACTTCCTATAGGCCATTTAGGCGGCCAATTGGGAAGGGGGGGAGGTGCTTGCTGACTGCTCGATTGAGTCAGGGTGTTTCTATGGATCTGTCTGTGTCTGTATGGGTCAATGTGTGTCTATATGGATCTGTCTGTGTCTGTATGGATCTGTCTGTATGGGTCAGTGTGTGTCTCTATGATCTGTCTGTACGTATGTATGTGTCTGTATTGATTTCTCTGTGTCTGTATGGATGTTTCTGTATTGATCTCTCTGTCTTTATGGATCTGCGTGTCTGTATGGGTCAGTGTGTGTCTGTATGTGTCTACGTGTGTGAATCTGTCTGCATGGGAGTTTGTGAGTCAGTGTGCTTATGTCTGCATGAGTGGGTGGAGCTAATGGGGCAGCAAGTTTTTTGCCTCAGTCGGCAAAGATTTTTGCACCAGCCCTGGTTGGCTGACTGACTGGCAGGGAAGGGATAAACTGTGGGTAGGGAGGTTGGTTGACAGGGAAGGGGGTTAACAGTGGACAGTGAGGTTGGCTGACTGGGACTGGCAATGAAGGGTTTACTGTGGGTAGGGAGATTGGCTGGGTGGGACTGGCAAGGAAGGGGTTTACTGTGGGTAGGGAGGTTGGCTGACAGGGAAGGGGTTAACTGTGGTTATGGAGGCTGGCGGGGAATGTATTACTTGCATTACAGAGAGGGAGGGAGAGAAGCACACATGGGCTCTAGCCTTGTCTCTGCAGTGAATATTCCTTACACTAGATAAGACATGCCTCTATTCTCATTGGCTGCAAAAGGTATGTTTCTTTCAGAGACTGGGAACAGGAACATATTGAAATTTGAGAGGGGGTTAGCTAAGGAGGCTGGGTTACACTGCTGAAATCAGCAAAACATTTTACAGCACTGCAAGAAAACTATACAGAATTGAAATAAAATAAACTAACCACAGGTATTTTGAGCTTAATAGCTTTAATTTAAGCTAATTTAACTTCTTTAGCTGCCTGGAGTGTCCCTTTAAATACAGGCTGATTTTATTTATTTATTTTTTAAAGGTTTTGGGATCTGCATCCTGTTCTATAGTTGGGAGTATTAAAACTGTGTGCATTTCATTCTGACCTTTTAAAGGATATTTCACTGCCGCACCGAGACTGATGCACTGACTGCCACACTCACCGACTTACATATTCACATACACGCACGCACTCACTGACTTACATATTCACATAAGCGCACACACTCACTGACTGACTGACAGACACACTCAGGGGAAAATATGTTGGTTTTCCCTGGTGTCCCAGTCCAGCCCTGTTGAGAAGACAACCTATTAAATAGTATACTCTTGGGGAGGGAACAGACTTGCATTCACTATTGCAGTGATTCCTTACCCACCCCCAAGATAAGCCAATGGGTATACAGACAAATTCTGGACCACTAGTGATCCGGAAAAGGAAGATCAGACTCTGAAAGCAAATAGTGAAGATTGCTAATCTTTGCACAGTGACACAAACAGCCTGACCCATGGCAAATATTGCCTTTGTTTAATAAATTAGTAAATGTTTGTTATTTTTCTAGTTCAATTCTGAGCATTTCTCACTGGATTTCTAGGCTTCATTGTACCATGGGTGTGGGTCTATTCCCTGGGTGTCAAGAGTGGTTCTATGTGGATCGATTTCATTAAACAATATGTTCTGGAGTCTAGCAGGGAGACAATGTTAATGACGTAAAAGTCAGAGTATCTGAAAATAAGCTAATGAGAACCTGTATGAAATACGCACAAGTTAGCGTTCTGGTGAATAAGCAATGAAATCAGAGTTTCTCCAGCTTTAGAAGACTATTATTTTGTCTTGAAATTAGGGTTTAACACGTTATATTTACACAGACACATATAAATAAAATATACACCAAAACATTTCATTCAGCGTGTGCTATAAAGGGCTCCATTAGAGGATGTACAACACTAATAAAAGTTGTTACCCAAGGTTTATTCTCTCACAACTCTACAAAAATACAGTTCTATTTGGGTGGTAAAACCAGCAATTCACTCATGTACTCAGTGTACCGCGCCGCAGTCACAGCACACTCCACCAGTCAGAGTGCCTTGCAAGCAATCTCTGCCAACTCTGTCTTCCAAGAGGGAGTCCTGACTGGAATCAGGGATCCGGAGCCCACCCTTTAGCTGCAAACAAGCTCTCTCCAGCCCCAGATTGTTTCTGGGAGGTTTGGCAATACTTCGACTTGCAGTTCCACTTACTAGTTACAAGTGGGTCCCTCTGTCCTGAGGGAGAGAGCCATTCGGAAGCAATTCCTTGGGAAGTACTCACAGTATTTTTTTTTAAGGTGCAAAACATTTGTTGTCAGTGAAAAAACTTGATTGCAGCACCAAAAGACTCTGGGATGTCACCATACAGCGGGTATGGCACTGATACCACTGCCAGGACAGCAACTGTCACACTGTATGGCTCTGTCACTCTAATCCTCCTCCACTTAGTACCAGCCCCCTAAGATCCCTGGCACTCAGTACTGTGTCCTCCTGATCAGTGTCCATAGAATCATCATCACTCTGTCCTCCTAACATGACCTGCTGTACAGCCAGGGTGGCACCATCTGAGGTCAGAGATTGCAAACTGTCTGCTCCAAGAGAACCGGGGGCAGAGAGAGTCACCACTGTACCTGTCAAAACACAACAATATATTGGATATTGGAATAGCAGAAAGAGCAAGAACTGAGGTAAACAGTATATTCATATAATTACTAAGAGGGAG